TTATTTAAATATATTATAGTTTTTTAATTGAGAAAAGAGAAAATATTATCTAAATCTTTAAATAGAATAATAGTAGAGAAACAAATAGATAAATGAGATAAAAATTAATATTAAGTGTTTTTTTAAATTCTTTTAATATATTTTTTTAGTGTGATTATATATAATTTTTTTAGAGAAAATATTATCTAAATCTTTAAATATAATAATAGTAAAGAAAAAAATAGATAAATGAGATAAAAATTAATATTAAGTGTTTTTTAAAATTCTTTTAATATATTTTTTTAGTGTGATTATATATAATTTTTTTTAAAATACGCCTATTAATTACTAAACATAATTTTTAACTCAACTTTAATTACTTAATTAAAATTTTTTAATTAAAAATTATTATAAAACTCAAGAATTGTTAAAAATAATAAAAAAATCTAAACTTTAATATAAAAAATAAAAATAAAAAAACCCGTGCAACGCACGGGCAAAACAAAAACTAGTTTTAATTAATATTTTTAAAAACTAAGTGTTGAATTAAAAATTCTATTAATGTAAATCATACATATCAATTTTCATATTAATCTACTAGATCTAACAAGTTCATTAATTATATAAAATTTAATATTGTTAAATATATACAAGTAAATAAAGTTTTTATTTTATCCAAGGATTTTAAATGTTAAAATAATTTTAAAATTAATATACATGATTTATATAAATAAATTATTCATTTAACCACTAATTTTTAAAAATATTAATTATAAACTAAGTTTTAAATAAGTTCTTCAAAAAATATTTTCAGAATACGAGATGTTGCACTACAACAGCCTTTTAATGGATGCGTGAAGATTTTCTTTGAGGCTCCAAGTGAAGTACTTTGGGCCACAATATGGAGAGGCCCATAAAGCATCCTAGTGGGCTTGTTAAAATAAAGAAAGAAAAAAAATGGCAAGAAGTTTTTCCAAACACCGTCTTAAGAGCCCAGGGACTATTTAGTTAAATAAGATAATTTTCAGTCCTCATTGATAAATAAACAACAATACTGAAATCCCAAATTTCTTAATCCCCTCGAGGGTTTTCGCGGACGCACACAGCACTTAAAAACAGAGCTTTTCTTCTTCTTCATCCTCTTTTCTGTAATTTTTTCTCCTTGCAGAAATCAATAATACAGTAAATGGGAAGCACCGCCGTCGAGAAGACTGCGGAGGAGCTCCAGCGGGAGATTGACGAGCTCCATCGTCAACAACGCGAGGTATTTATTCCCATCTGCTCTCTCTACATATTTAAGGTTTTTATATATGAAATACGCTGATAAATTACTGTTTCCTTTGTGCAGATTAATGAGAGGCTGAGGGATCCTCGTGGTCTCCGAAGAGGAGGGGTGGCGGGCGCCGGACCTCGGAACTTTGCTGCTAATGGTGCTCGTCGTGGCTTTGGTCGTCCGGTATGGTTTTATTTGTTTCGACTGAAAGTTGGTTTTATTATTATTAT